AAAAAAAAGAAATTTTTGTTGGACATTTTTTGAGTGACATATATTTTTCTCGAAGATTATGTAATGACATTCTGTAAAGAAAAAATTCATGAAGAGGTTTATTATTTTGACCAAATTAGCGTAAAAAACGGGTCATTAAAACTCTCAGATTTATTTCCGGTACTACGTATTCTCCAATATATCCTGGTGATGATAATACGTTATTTCGATTAGTAGGTAAGAACAATTAAACAACAGATCAAAATTTTATGAGATTGATTGAATATTGGATATTTTATCCTTACAATAGTTGGAAACTAGAAGTGTTAAACTAACCAACTAATTATGGATAAATTTTAGAGGGAGAACACGTTTATTATACTGTGGATAATGGAATAGGTTCTAATACTCCAACGATTCAACTTAAAATTAATACGTTTGGGATATGACACAAAAATCATATCACTATCACTTTTGCCGGGAAGTTGAAAGATCGACATTGCATAAATACTATAAATACTAAAATTTTAACACTGCCCTGTTCCATAATATTATTAAAAGATAATAAATTCGGCCGAACTTCTTTGGACTTACTGACCTGAACTTACTTTTTGCGGCGAAGAATCCACACTTAACATCCTAAATTAGATTTTAATATATATATGTATTTTTCAAAGGCTTTACGGTTAACCCATTAAGTTGAATTATTTAATATTGATCAATTTCCTGATAAATATGAAAATCAGATGTTTCGAGCATGAACATTATTTTAGTAACTCCTTTTTTTTTTTTCTTTGTTTTTTTTTTTGATTTTGTTACCTTATTCAGGAAAAGAGTAATAACAAATACGAATGAAAGAAAAAAAGATTGTGTAATAAAATCTGCATTGTTTATGTTTTCGATGAATAATTTCCTTTATTTGATAAAAATGGAAAACATTCATTACTTCCAGATCGAATTATACTGGATTACGCACCAGTTGTTCCTATCAAACATGATTAAACAGACGGAGCTATCGTGCAAATTTTATTTGTGGAGGTAAGATTACACATACAGTCACACATGAATTAATTTTAAGGATTGTTGAATCTAATCGACGGTAAGGATTGGTGTCTATTTTTTTTTTTTATATTAAACAATATTACGCGAAATAAAAAGAGTTACGCGTTTTAAAAAAACATGACTAGATACAGATCTTCGCGTTTTTTTTCTTTTTTCGATCGAGCATGTAATTATTATCACTTGAGGGTTTAAGATTAAAAGCAGGGGTTCAAAAAGTGATATTTAAGCGCGTTATAAAAAATAAATTGCTGCCTTGTTTGTTATCTTCCGTTGTTGTGTAGCGTATGCACAACATAAAGTTTACATATATCAAAGCAAGGAAAGCCTAACAATCGATCAAAAGATATATTATAAAAAAAAAGAATGGATTCTTGGAATGTTGGAATTATCAAGAACAATGTAAAAAAAATAATTGAATGCGGTACTCTTATCAGGTCAAATTTAGCAACATGAAAATTTTGCGAACTTTAAGTTTACGAATAATAATGATTTTTTGTTTATATCATCTTACAAAATCAATCATGTAGCCAAACAAGAAGGAACTAGCTATTCATTTAATTTTTATTTATTTATTATTTTTTTTTTTTTTTGCATTTCTTTGTATCGAAAACACTCAATTTCACCAAACGCACATGGATGGCCTGATAATTATTACAATGCAATTTGTTTAAATCACTATATTCGGGTTCTTTATGATTTACGCGATGTCAAGTGACATGACCCTATCGATTTACTAAATAGAGAAACTGGTTTTATATGTTTTATCATTAAATTATAAACTGTATATATTCTTTTAAAAAAAAAGGCAGGGTACGGTATTATGTCATTATATTGTCATCTGTATGCGCGATGATCACGCGATTACCACAATGGCTAATTATTTTTTTTTACATCAAAAGATCCACAAAATGTTAACCCTTGCTTTTTTGTCTCTAAACAATATAAAAATATTTTTTTTTTTTTTTTATCTCGACGCTTTTTTTGCATCTAGAAAAACGAAAGGCGCAGTCGCAGTATAGGACAAATAAGGAAATCAATAAAATTAGCCAACCCATTTTATTTTTTCAGGAAATTTCATGTACCGAGCCATCTTTGTACAACATATGTAGCTGATCAAATCTAAATAAATATTATGCAATGGATAAGCCACTTTAAAATCATGAATCATTATATATTATATAGAGTATAGTTTTTAGCGCGAAATAATGGATCGGATCATTTCCCCATGAAAAAATATCCTTTACATGTTGTACAAGTATATGTTGTCTTGTAATAGTTTTACAAATTTTCTTCTCGATTGCGTCTGACTTGATTAGGTCATTCATGTGTTTTTGTTGCAATTCCTTGTTTGGTTACAATTCTACATATAGAAGACAGGAGAGGGCCGCAAAAAAAAAAAATAAATAAATTTTGTCATTAACATTATCAATCGAAAACATCTTTGAAGAACTTTTGTTCGCGTTTTTATTTTATTTTTCTTTTCTGTTTAATTTATGCATGTATTACAAAATAATAAGGATCGATCACACTTTTTCGTTAGTAGAAGACATCATTGAATCTTCCAATATTGCAAAGTTATTAGCCTATGCCAGGTTACGTGTAACCTGAGGATATCAACCTAAAAATAAAATCACCAATTAAAATTGTTTCATAAAAAAAAAAAGAGAGGGAAACACAAAGAAAATTATTATTGTAATGAATATGACCTGGCTTTGCAGAATTTCAAATTGACCTCTATAAATGGAAAAGGTTTTCATTCAACTCGAAGCGGATTTGGTTTCAAGTTGTTTCATTTAAAACTTGTTTTTTGTTTAAGGGGCAAAGCGAATGATTCACTTGTGAAATGTATGATTTATATTATTCAAACACAAGGAATGTATTGCTGAAGTGGATTTGATCCGAACCTATTCATGTATTTGTTACATCACACCAAATAGACAAAAAAGAGAAAAAATCCGTTTGCAAACTCGGACATGCAGTGTTCCTTTGGAATTTAATCTTAAAGAAGGGGAGATCAATGTTTCAGAATTATCTGGGCAACGGAATGACCTGAACGAAACACTGATATTATCTACCCAAACTTGAAAAACGCGTATATTTTAATAAATCAAATTGATATCTTAATATTGTACTTTATCCAAAACAATCAAATAACATAATAAATTACATAATTACATACGATTCTATCGATTATTTTGTGACATTTATCGGAACATGCCTTTAATTTTGCCGTCAGTACATATTAGATCTAATTAAATTCCCAATGGAATTTATTCATGGATTGATTTCCTTCGATAATGGGAGATCTCCAATAAGGCTAGCTTAAAATCAAACCAGAATCTTTTTTTTTTAAAAAAAAAAAGGGAAAACCCCCGGCTATAATTTAATGAACACGAATCAAATAATCTCTCTTTCAAAAATCAACGTTGTTTTAAGAATTGTGAGATATATTATATGTATGTTATGTATATATTTGGTTAGCCTAGACGAAATGGTGCGACATAAGTTATAAGAGTGCGAAGAAATTCCAAATCAATCAGAGACCTCATTGAACACTATTACAAGAAAGTTATGTAATAAACTGAACGTTTCTCTCCACTAAAAAAAGCAAACCTAGTATTTATCAATTTAAATTCAAGTGATATTTCTTAACTTTTACAGAAATCAATCAATCCGATTTATTTCATTTGTACGACCCAATAAATTTGTCCAAATACCGAATGCAGAATTGATTTATCAATTGACAAACAACTCGGGAAATAAATTTTTTTCAAAGCGTATTACATGATTTTCAACATGCACCACATGCATCAAAAATAACTCGATTTTGGTTTTAACGATTTTTTGTATTTTTGTATTTTGCATTTTTTTTTTTTTTTTTTTGTTACAAAAAAAAAAAAATACAAAATTATTAATAAAATTATCGTTATAGCGATTTTTGTATTTTTGGTATTTTCTTTACAAAATAAATAAATAAATAAATGTTAATAAAAAGAACGTTATTATTTTTAACAAATTTTCTTTTTAATAATTTCATATTTTCTGATTTAATGTTTTTTTTGATTAATGTCGTACAACAAATAAATAAATGAATGTGGTTTTTTTAAATATACCTAGATTAATTTGGAGTTCAATAGAAAATTTTTTCAGTGGGAGAATCTTCAATATCTTTAAAAATAAGTCAATATTGCATCATGATTGTTTTACTTTAATGAAAAGCTTTATTGAGCAAGCAGCTATGATTTGGCCTATCTTTAAACCCTGCATATAAAATCCAAGACTTTCTCATAAGAATTCTAGAATTTTAATGAATCATGAGATTTGGATCATTTTCTGCTGCTTTTCGTGTTAGTATTTTAATTAGATCCGGATTTTCGGTGACATAATGTTTACAGCGCACAGATTTACAGATCCTGCCAAGCCGGAAATCCCGAAATTCTATTTTTACTTTTAATTAATTCATGAAATCTTCAAATTCATATTCAAAATCGCGTTAAACATGTAAAGGGTACGGTTTTATTATTTATTATTAACAAGTTTCGAATTACCATAAAAAGTGTTGCTATATAAAAGTGTGATGCGGAGATTAATTACAAAAACATAGAAGTGTAAGTCTATTTTAGAGGGTATTAAGCGTATAGTTTTAATTATGTAAAGGTTATTTGTGCATTTGTAAAAAAAAAAAAAAAAAAAAAAAAAAAAGGAAAAAAAAAACGCGAATATGTTTTTTTGTTTTTTTTTTTAAAAAAAAAGAGACTAGTACTTTGAACCATGGTTAGTACCACGTATTATCAAGGTTGGAAAATTATATACTTATTTACGTAAAATAACGGGAAAATCAATTATAATGAATAGAAAAGAAATAAAAAAAAAAAAACGAATTATACGAGTGTCCGATAAAATAAACGCAATAGAAAAAAAATATAAAAAGCTTATTATCGAATATATATATATATTGTTCAATTATGAGTATTTGCGAAATCCCATCCGGTGGGAGAAGTCGAACTTTCTTCCATGTAATTCTGTAATGGAGCATTAGACAAAGAATTGACGTGAGGCAATTGGATATGAAGGTTAGCGGATAATAAACTATTCGTTGAATTTGTCGAGGAATAAGGGGCTGATAAAGTTCTTGGAGAACGCATTTGAGTCCTTCCTAAAATTCCAGAATTGTTGTAATCCGTCATTAAAGAAGGAATAGCTAAAGGAGGAGGAGAATGCATGTTATGATTATGATAAGAGGCGAGCGAATGATTTTCTAATGTCGTAGTTCCGGTATTTAAAGGACGATTATAATCGAAATAACGATAATGATTTTGACGTGTATTATCGTTATGATTTAATGCGTGATCATTTAAATGTCCTAGTGGCGGTGAAGTTGCATTGGTCAACCCATTTCGTCTTTTTTGACCATGCTTTTCAACAGAAAGTCTTGGCTGGAGAGTAGGTTTTGGATATTTTTGATTATAAATTTTACTCGCTTCTCTAGCAATATCTTCATAATACTCTACGACATGATCGGGTTCTTCTCTCCAAGCCGAAGCAACTGAAGCCGATACGCTTCTCATAGGTAATCGATAATCTTTTGCGTGTAACTCTTTCACATATTGCATTCGATAAATCATAAATGCATTAGGAGGTTTTGTTGGTAATTTAGATTTTGCTTTCCTTGGCTTCAATATTAATTCTTCTGGGTTTACATTTGGCGGAAATGGAACCCTGATAATTGGCAATGGAGGTTGAGGAAGATTGCTTCTTTGATTAGTTGCAATTGAGGACGACTCGTCAATAATAACCCAGTGGTTGTACTGAAGAGGTGACATATCAATTAATCGTTATAAGAAGGCGACAACGATTGATTCTCTCTTATTCTGACTATTAAAATTTAGTGAAGGTTTATTTTTTTTGTTTTAACGAGAAAAGAAAAAAAAAAAGGTTAATTTTTAAATGAAAAATAAATTTATTTTTTTTTACAATAAAATATTCTTTTTTTAAAAAAAAGAAAAAGAAAAAGAGAAAATATTTATATAAAAAAAATTCTTTGGAATTTTCAAGAAATCTATTATTATCAATCGTTAAAGATTGAAATAATTAGTTTTGAACTTCATGTTCAATATCAAATCTTTAAATAACTTACACAAAATAAAAAGAAGCCAATGCCCCGTTTTGAATATTTTACTGAAAACAAAGAATGTGGTATATATATATATTCATTTTTCAAGTGCGTGGCGCAACCATTACTAAGCTTGCTGATAAATGACATTTCTTTGCTTTTTTATTTCTCTTAAGTCACACGTTACCTTAACATAATTTGATAACAATAATATTTATGAAGAAAATTCCCTACTTTTTCAACACAAATCAGTTTAAAAAATTTATTTATTATATATGTATAAAATATTTATATACTGTATATCCGATCGCTTTAAGCATATTTGATTATACATATATAGTTAGTAATATATATATAGTTTAAATTTATTTTTAAATAGAACCGATAATATGTGCAGCATGACATCATAGTTTTTTTTAAAACTTTTTTACTTTGTATTTGATTAAAAAAAAAAATTAAAAAGAAAAAATTTATTATTTGATTAATAAGTATCACGTAGAATTATATATTAAAAATTGTTATATAAAAATATAAATATAGATTTTAATAGAAACAAAACTTGATAGTCACTATTCCTTACTGACGAGAAGCTAAAGTACTTGGTTGATACTTACAGTCCTTTATAAATAAGCTTACTTCTTGGATATAAAATAACAGCAAAGCATTATTATCAACAGTTGAATGTTAATTTTAACACTAGAAAATTTGACAATATCAATCCAATCTATCCATTAACCGTTTTCGGATAAAATTATAATTCTCCGAAAACATACAAAAAAAAAAATACCTGTTTGGGAGGTTTTGATTTGTTCGAAAGATGTGTTGCATCATTCTGATCCATTTATGGTTCGACTTTGTAAATTGTAACATCAATGAAATGTTGTTTGTTTATCAAAAAAGTTTTTTTTTTTTTATAAATCCGCGGAAATGTGATATCGTGTTGAAACGATATAAATGTCATAAAGGTATAAATTATAACATATAAAAGATATTTTAAATTATACATTATTGATTAAAAATTTAAATTTCTATAATTAAATTAATTAACCTAATGAAAATAATTTTTTTTTTGTTATAATATAAAAAAATAACTATAAATCCAATCTATCCAATAATATTAAAAAATAAAATTCCTTAATTTGGAGATTTAATTTAATTTTTCTCACGTGTCAAAGCTTGGCTGAAGGGCCCTGAAAAAGGAAATTTTAAAAGAAATGACCGATTTTATGTTGTATTTATTTGGTAATTCCAATGAATGTTACATAATGATGTTTGGGGCTATGTTTATTTGTTTTGGGAAAAAACAAAAACTTTTTCCAAATCAGGAAATTTTCAATGATTTTAAAATAATTTTTCGGAGATATAATGAAAAATCACAACTTGATTTTAAATGCTTACAAATAACGCACAAGAAAAACTAGACCTTGAACAATAACCAATGAAAAAATTTTTTATTGTATGTTTGTATAATGCTACTTACTCTTCATCGAATCTTCAATATTATTTTATAATATTATTAAAAAAGATTTCTAATCTTGATTTGAAATAATTTTTTAAAATGAAGTCGGTGATTTATTATCGCTTTACTATGTTTTATTTTATTAAATATTAAAATTTTTAATTTATAAAGTAACAAAAAAAATTAATAGAATTTTTTTTTATAAAAAAAATCAAAATGAATTTAATAGAAAAATAAATAATAAAATACATTTAAATAAACTTTTATATAAAAATAGTGATTTGAATTCTAAAATTTTCTTCTTGATATATTATCTTAAAAAATTCTTAGTTATAATTTTTATAAATTATAATTTAAAATTACTATTATTTTAAATAATTTTTTTAAAAAATAATGTAATATATGTCATTTATATATATATTTTTAATTACAATTTAAAATAATGTTATTATACTTGTTATTATTTATATTATATTTAATTTTTTTTATTAATAAAAAAAAAATTTAATTGAATTGAAATCTAATTTAATTATTAATAAAAAGTTATTACAATCTAAAAAAAATTAATAATTTGATTATTAATAAATTAAAAAAATAATTATAATATTTGAAAAAATAATATTAAACATTAAAAATTATCTTAAAAATTTATTTATAAAAATAAATAATTTTATAAGTTATTAAATACTTTAATAATTTAATAAAAATATAGTATATGTATTTAAATATTTTTTTTTTTTTAGAATAATATATATGTTTAAATAAAAATGTAAAAATATTATTAAAAAATTTATAAATAAAAATAAATAATTTTTATTTTATTTTTTAAAAAAAATAGTATAAAATAAAATTGATTTTTAACTAATTAAAAAGTGACAAATAAGATTGCATATTTAAATCTTTAGTTTCACTAATTTTTACTAAGATTTTGATATAATTTACCTTTTTAAATTTTACAAATTTTTTAATGAATTAAAAAATGAATTAATTTTATAATATATTTGTTTAAATATTTAAGTTAAAGTATTATATAATAATATTTTATTTATATTAATTATATAATTTTATATTATTACTTAAACTTTAAGTATAAAATTAGTTCTAAAATATTTTAGAATACTTAAAATATTTTGATATTTAATGATTATAAAAAAAAAAAAAAAAAAAATTTTTAGATTTATTATATTATGATGTATCTAAAGGTAGTATTTTTAAACTTTTAAAATTCATAATTATCAATATATATTAATTTTTCAATTTTTTAATTTTTAAAAATAATTTATTTAATAATTACAAAAATATGAATTTTAGTTTATTAGATTCATTACATTAAAATCTATTAATAATAATATTTATATATTTTTGAGATTGATAGATAACAAGATATATAAGTTTAAAATTTGAATTTTTTTTCTAATAATTTATTATTTATTTATCTTTAAAAAATCACTAGTTAATTACATTTTTTTTTAATTTTTACTTAGAAAATATCATAAATTTTATTATAAAAGTATTAATTTTTTAATAATATATTTTAAAATATTTAAAAATAATTAAAAATAATTATAATTAATAAATAAAATTATCTATAAATTTGTTAGCAAAATAGTTGAAAAAATAATATTAAGTTCTTATTTATATATTTATTTTATGATAAATACAAAATATTTAGTTAAAATCTTATTATAAAATAGTCTTTAAAGTATTTATTATTATTTAATTAAAAAAATTTTTAAAGAATTCAAAATTTTATTTAATAAAATTATATAAATAAAATTAATTTAAATTTTAATTTAATTTAATTATTTTAATATACTAAATTGTTTAGTTTAAATAGTTATAAATATAGGCATAATTATTTTGATTAAAAATATAATAAAATAACATATTATTAAAAATTAAAATTAAAATAAATTAAATTACTGTTAATGTATAATCCTATTGAATTGTGACTATTAGACAGGGTGTTCAAGTGGTGATTCTTTTAAGTTTACATAATAATGATAAATGTATGATTTATCCACTATATACTACCCAATGTATTCAATATACTATCAAGTATATTTTCATATGTCAAGTTAAAATTAAATATGAAATATGTTACAAATACAAAGTATTACAAAATATTTCAAGTAAATTGAATAAAGATTAATTGGTAAATAAATAAACTAAAAGCTAAAAATACTAAACTAAGAAAATACAAAAGAAAAATTAATCACAAATAGAAAAAAATAGCTTTGCGTTACTTTACAAAAAGGGTTATACATAGTTATTGCTGAACTGATCAGATTGCATCTAGCAATTGATAGTTACTTTTTTGACAAAAATTTAATCTCCTTTATATACTTTTTAATATAAATCTAATATATTATATATATTAGATATGTCTAATATATTAAATATATCAAATATATCAAATATATTAAATATATCAAATATGTTTGACATGTTTGATATTTTGATCTGCATTTTCTTATATTACATAAATTAAATACATCTATTAAATGATCATATTAACTGTATCACTTATATAACTATTTATAATGCATTATATAGATCAATTACGTTATAATAGTCCTGTTATATTACAATAGAATTATTATTAATTAAATTATGAAAAAAAGAATTATTTTAAAATAATTTAAATTAATTATATTTAATATATAATTTAATTTATAAAAAATATATAAAATTAAAGTTATAAATAAAAATTATTTTAAAAGTATTATTTTAAAAAAATCATTTTTTATATATATTCTTTTTCAAAAAAATATTTTTAAATTAAAATATATTATTAAATAAAATATTATCATATTTATTTAGTTTTTTATATTTAATTTTATATGATTTTAATCTTATTTGAAAGATTTAATAAGAGTTTTCAGTAGTATAAAGATTATATAAATTAATTTGTTATATATTAAAATATTGCTATATATATACTGTATATATTATAATTGTAATTACATTTTTATTATTTTTGTATTATATTTATATTACTTTTATATAATTTACATTAGATTTCTAAAATATTACTAATATATTTTAATATGTCTTTAGTATATATTCAATATAATTTTAAGATATACATATTATATTTTTATACAGTAATATACATTTTATACTTCTAATAGTATAAAATTTGATTATAAGCTTTCAAACCAAATGAATTTATTAGAGAATTATACTTTCAATCCTTTTAAAAGTATTTTTAAGAGTTCTTCCAATTTTTCAAGTACATATTACTGTTT